GATACAGCAAAAGCCAAGTTTTATGTTTTTGAGAAACTACAGAATTTTCTGTCTTATTTCAAGCACTTAAGTACATTGCTAGCATTGTAATTAAACAACCAAGCAATACAAACACACATATGCAGATTATACAGATGTATTTAGCTTCCATTGAGATCAAAACACTTTAAGCCTCTGAGTACCTGCAGCCTTAAACAGCCTAGTGCCTAACCTTACTATCACATACAAGAAGCCTGAACTTGGCATTAAAAAACAGGCATAGAAGGGGTGGACAAAACAGCATTAACAACGCAAATCAACGTATATATCAACATAGCATTAATACCCCCCAAAATAGCAATTAATCATTTCCTATCAGCCTTTTAATAGCATTGTTATTATATTAATTCACATTTATGATACAAATTATTTAGTCACTGTTTACTCAGAGAGCAGAGAAAGACTTCTAGAATTCTCTTGTTTGTTTACTTTCTAAAGTAAGCGCATGTTAAAACTCTAACGTATGAGGTCAGCTGCCTCAGGAGAGCTAACACAGGTAAGAAGTACGTATGCTTTTCAGACAAAAGAAGGGAAAAAGAGAAAAATATTTTTTTAAATAGGGCCACATTTACAAATCACTCACAAAAACCTGCCCAAAATCCCAGTGCCACAATAAGAAAAAAGCAGAACAAAATTCCCTGGCAGGGCTAAATACACAACCCCAACAGATCCAAAACCTTACCTTTTACTTACAATACAAACTTAAAAAAGGCAAAAAGACACTGCCTCACCTACCTCTAATGACTAACTCCCATCTTCCCCCCTCCTAAACCTGGATAGGCCTCTTTTATAGGTCATGTTAAAAGGCTTGCTAAAGGAAGCAGGGTCACTTGAACCCAGTGCTGGGGATGGTAAAGATGCTCGGCTGCATCTTTTCAGGCTCTGTAGGGTGCTGGGGAGTCACCTGCTCTGGAAAGCAAGCTGAGAGTTCCCTTTGGGTCTGGCCTGCACTTTGTGCTGCTGCTTGTCGCTGCTCAGATCAGTGAAAGAGAGGTAGAAGCAAACGGAAAAAAACATCTTCAGTGTAGTTTTATTTTGAACCCGTATCACCATTAAAAGTCCATGTAAGAGGGAAGGCCAGTGGAGAAAGGCATTTTTATAGGGTTTTCTTCAGGTTTCTATGGCATCAGTAGGTGGCTTTACTGATACATCGCAGACCTGTGTTTTTTAACATGATCATTGTTACATGCTTCCCAGAAGAGGAAGTAAAATTCCTCAGAATCTGTTTGTTGAGCAAAATTGTGTATCTTATTTTGCTGCACCTCTAAGCAGCTGTGTTTGAGTGAAATGCAGCAATGAGAAGTAATGAGTAAAAAGAGAGAAAAACATTCACATTCCTCTAGCCTCATTCTAGCGTCACTAGGATGCCATGAGACCTCTTTAGTAATAGCAAAAATTATGACATGGGAGAGGATATAGAAGAAAATGTTAATTTGAATTAATAGATGCAGTATTGAGAACCAAAGTTCCTGGCTGTTCTGTGCAGACCTGAAAGAGTCTCTGTGTGGTGGGACCAAAGATGTGTGCATCGTCACAACACTTGAGGGGTGATCTCTGCTATCACAAAGGTTTGTAAATAGGTTTCCAAGGAGAGAGAGGGAGAGAAAGAGGAGTTCAAGGTTGCTGCTACACTGTTGCTCATCATTGTTTAGGTACTGAATTAGATAATGTGCATCCCATTTAACTGAATGTGTTCAAACATGAAGGTAAATATTCAAAGGACTTTGAGCAACCACAGCTATTGTTTGGGGTTTTTTTATTGCCAAGTGCTAAGGTAAAAGTATGTTTTCTGTTCAAAATAAGAATTTTCTTTCACCCTGGTATATGATCAGTCTTAAAATTGTTACTTAGAGCCCAAATAAGTAAGCCACATGTGTTGTTTTTACAAATGGAGTTCTTGAAATGAAGCTGTGTATCTGTGTCTGTAAGGACTGTGTGCATACAGATTTATTCTGCAGTTGTATATCATTGTAACCTTAACTTGTGTTCTGTAACTCACAGACTGTATTGTCCTTTGGGCTTTTTGCAGCTTACATTGTAAGGCTGCTGCCAAATTTGTCAGCAAGTAAATTGTAAAATTAGATAAGCTCCACTTTTATTGAGGAAGATGTTAAAGATTTTATCTTGCTGTGGTATACCATGGCTCAATGACTCTTTACTAGTTTTGAAACAACAACGATTTGTGGAGGATCGCTTTGTTACACCGTCCTGCAGTACATACATGTTAATGAAGCACAGCCACCAGGGTGGACCAATGTATATTGGTATCCCCTAGCCCTGCATGTTCCTCAACTGAGTACGGGGCAGTTTTTTTCCTAAGGGAAAGTCACCATCAATATGAATGCTGAACTCCATTTAAACTTCTGTTTTTAAGCTTGTGTTTCGATTTTAATTACCTCTCCAGCCTTTTGCTTAAAAACCATTTTATATGTTATAATATATACATGTATATATGTATCTATTTGATATACAGGCTTTTGGGGGCCTTTTATGCCAGGTATCCATCTATTATAGTCTTTGAGAAGTTTTCCATCTATGTTTTGATGTGAAATTAGCGATACAGATGTGACAGTGGATTAATAACAGGATCCAGATCTGTGACTAAGTCAGATTCAATGTAGGGGCAGCAGTTCAAAGTGACTGTTGTTCTATGGCCTGTGTGAAAGGAGTCTGTAGACTTGGCTGGAGCTTTCCCAGTAGGTGATACCTATTACTTTAATACCCACCTTCAGTCACTTCACACTTACGAGTTACTTATATTTGCACTGTATAAAGACTACTGCCCTTATTTTTACTCCATCCTTCAAAATAAGAACTGCCTTTCTCAGGCCCTCTTGACTCCATGAAAACCTGAATAATAACAGAATTAGTAAATGAGATACTAGCATGGTCTCATTTTTATCCAGAAGAATAAATAGGGGTAGTTGTTTGGGAAAAGAAGAATTCCAGTGGGAGTAAAGGCAAATATTGTGACATTTTCAGAAATGTGTTCAGAAACAGAAGATGCACGCATCTTGGGGAACATTTTTGTTTTGTGACATACTGCAAACAGAAGGTTAGCAGGCAGAAAAGCCAAGTGAGCTGGATGAATATCCAAACAGAGAAATATGGCTACAGGAAACAAACAGAGCTGGAATGGTGATTAAACATATGTTTTCAAGTAAACATCGAAATAGGCCAATGGAAGGGGCATCGTTACCCAAAAAAATGGCAGCAGCAAACAGAGAAATGCTTAAGAATGTCAAGTGCTGCCTTTAACCGAAGGATTCAGTAGCTGCTTCTTAGACAGTGATATGTAGGCAAGATACCTCCCTGGCAATTGGTGAGCTAACACTGGCACTGCAGTCCCCTTTCTTGAGGGATTCCCAGCTGCAGTCACCTACTGCTCACCCACCGCCTGGCGCAGTGATCTAGCAGGTGTGTGTTACTGAAGCCTTTAAGAAATCAGAGGGATGTTTTCAGATCAGAAAGGATCATCTCTGGAGAAGCTTAAATTTCAATTCTTAGGTTTATGATATAATTATATTAAACACAGCAGGCCTCTTCTTATCAGTCTCCATTTGGTATTATCTACCCCTTTCCTGGAGATTCATCACAACAATCTAGGATGTGGAATGGTGTGGGAGCCTCTGCAGCCATGAAATCATCTGCTGCTGCCCACCAGCCTTCAAAATGAAATATGCTGGGGGACACAGAAAGAAACACCTGAGCAGCTCAGCAGTACAGGGACAAGGAAAGCTGGAGCTCACCTCTGCAGGGGTGGAGTGTTCTCATCTCCCCTGTGACCAGCCTAAAAGGAATCTGCTTTTGGCCTTTAACTGGATTTTGGCCCCTTTCCTTCGTGCCCTGGTCTCTCCACATATATCTTCAGAGGCCCAAGGGGGCTGTAAGTGCCAACGTCACAGCAGTGAGATGTTTTGTGTACAGGCACCTAAGGAAGAGACAGAGACTGTCTTTGAATAAGCCCTGACATCCACTGCCTGAGTGCTGTGGGCTGAGACATACGATGGGACCAAGAAAAAAGGTCTCAGCTACCTGTCCTGGGGCCCTGACTATACTGTAATACTGGTCCTGAGGCAGCATGCATCCTGCTCTTAGCTGCTTCAAATGGGCTGGTCTAGTTGCTGCTCAGAAGTGTGTTTTCCATTAAGCATCTCTACATGAGTTTTTGAGTCATGAAGGTGACATGTGGAAAAACAAATAAGAAAATTTAGAAAAGATGAGATCCAGACATTCAATATTTTAAAGAAATCTACACAATGGAAATAACTGTAACTTAAATGAAAGTAGATTTTTTTTTTTTTTTTTGCAGCACTACCATTCTTGTAAATGGAAAAAAATAATCCTCTCAGTTTATTATTACTGTGATCAAACACAGCAGCATCCAGAAAGCAAATGTTTTCAATGATAATCCAACAAAAATAACAACTGGCTCTCTGGTGTGTTGTTTGGATAGCACACTCTCTAACTCAGACTATGCACTCCTTGCCAAGTGCTGGTGGCACTCAGAACCATGACAGAACAGGATCCATTCTTACCTGGGACAAGCAAAGCTCCTCCGTGCTGCCCTTCTCCTTTACAGCTTGTGTCACTGTAGACTCAGAGTATACCACAAATACCCCTCCCTCAATGGCCTGTGCGCTTTTGCAGATTTTAACTGACTCAGTAACATTAGTAATTCTAATGGTCTTGAGTCACCTTGCCTAAAAAGATCAACAACAAAAGGGAGGCACATCCTAGCTGAGTTCAAGTTTCAGCATACCTCTTCTTGTCCACAAGTCTGTTTGCCCCCTTCAGATGTCAAGAAAAATAAAATAATATATAATCTAGTATTTTTAATTTAGGTACAGGAATATAACATTATGGCAACTTTGTACATGAAATACATACAGTATTTAAACGTGAAAATCAGCTAGGTAAGAAGTTACATTAGCACTGAAACTGCTTCATGTGCAGCCCAGTTAATAGTTTAGATTTGTACTTTATTGGGGAGAGATTTTATTTGTTTACAATCATAGAAACATAAACATTTAAAACAAGACTCTATAAAATAATTTACAGAAACACTACCATCTACGCTGAGAGAAAGGGTGTACATCTGTGAGCTCTGTGTGTGAGGAACAAGGTGGATGAATGATGCATTTCAGCCTTTGAAGTATAAAATAATTTGGAAGCAGTTCATGAAATATGGAAGCAAAGGAGTGCCACTTAAAGGTTTCCTGCTATCTTGGACATCTACTCAGCATCACATGTGGGTCACTGGACACATGATAATACCATTGCCAGGTGCTACTGGAGACCCCCAACCTCAGTTCCTTCAAACAATTACTTATGTAAACATAAATACACAAGTTGATATCTTTTCTACACAGTACAAATACAGGTCACAACTTCTCAGCTGTTCAAGTAGTTAATCTATATACTTCGAAGTAGGATAAAGTTCAGACCAGAGTTCCATATATTTCTATGTACAGGGGCACTAACAGAACTTCCTCATTTTCACCAGTTTGCTCTGGTATTTCACGGAGTGCCCACTGTGCCCTATCACATATACATCCAGCAGGTAGGACTTGCCAGGCTGCAGGCCTCTGATTGTCTCTGTGGTTACCGCTTTCTGGATGTTCTGGCTGTGGAAGTATTTACAGAGGACCTTTTCCAATTTCTTCCTCATGTCTGGGCCCAAGCACTGGTTCTGCTGTCTTCTCTTCTGCTCTTCATTGTAACTGTCATCCACTTCCCTTTTGTAGATGCAGAACTTGTTTCTCTCTCGCGTGCCCAGCCACGCCACTGTGACCGAAGAACACGTGCGGAGTTTGTCAAAGGCTTTGACTCGTGTATCTTCAGGAAGAGAAGGAAACAACTGCTTGTTAGGCCTTGTTGTAGCCAGGACCTTCAGCATAGAAGCACCTTTTTTGCTTCCTTTCAGCCTAATCAGATATTTGGCTTTTGCTTTTCCCCGAAGCTGGAACTGCCGCACACCTTCCACATTCTGAGACAAGAGAAGTTTTCCATCTCTTTTAACCTGGACCTGAACAGCATCCAGGCATGAATGAATGGAGAAGATGACTTTCTGGTGAGATGAAACGGGAGCAAACTGTAGAAATTTGGCTCCCTTCCTCTTGATGAATACATCTGTAACTCTGCCGTCCTTCAGTTCAACCGTTTTCTGTTTAGCCTCCTCCTTTGTTCTGGCAAAGGTGCCTATGTATGCAGTGCTCGTGTTAGTGTTGGTATTTACTGCAAACATGTCAAAGTAGTACTGCGTGTCAGGCTTCAGGTCAGACACTGTGAAGATGTTCTTGTTCCCAATACAAACTTTATGGAGGTCAGTTCTTGGCTTTGAGGATGTTGGGTGTCCAAACTTTGATGACGGTTTTAGGAAATTGTGTTCTTTGCCAGAATTGTTGTCTGAGGGGAAGCCAAAATGGGCAAAGTCAAATGGACTGAAATCCAGACCTGGTTTTGGAGCCATCATAAAGGCATCATCAGAACTGAGCTTGGCTTCAACAGCACAGAGGCTTTTGAAGTTGTGTTCTTTATTGACAACTATGCAGTACTGAATGGGCTGTTTCAGTAAGGAAGCAGTAGGACTTGGTTTCCATGCCAGTGTCACTGTTGTACGTCCCAGAGAAGTGACGTCGATTCTGGGATCATAAGGTAATTCAGGATAAGATTGGTCTGACTCTGGAGTAGTGGTTGCATACACTTTAAAATGTGTATCTTTCTCTGTCGACAGCAGATCTAGTCGGTATAAACCAGATGGGGAACTAGAGGACACAAAGTACTCAACATCATTGCCTTTGTAAGAGAACAGCTCTGTGCCTTCCTCATTAGTAATCTGCTGTTTCTGTTGCTCAAGAGGCTCTGGTTCACCTGAATTAGAAGCAAAGAAAAACAGTAGAGACACAGTCTATGAATATCAGAAAATAAAACTCTAACAGACACTTCATAAAATACAAAAGTAAGATGAAAAAATAAAGTTTATCTTCTGAGTAAGATATAATCAATACTTCTGTCAAATAAGAGAGGGAATTGGTTTGGCACTCAGTTTGAAGCCAAACACAATAGAAATTGCACCTGACTACTACTAACAGAGTAACAGAGTCTTGCGAATAGTAGCTAATACCTTCTGCTAGAGTACCACTATCTTCAAGTACCCAAAGTGCAGCTCCCAGGGGAACTGGCTCCGCTGCCTGTTTCTGGACTTGCTAAAATTTTGTTCCTGAATACAGCAGAGGCCAAAGTTATGCACACCATACAACATGGTTTATAGGACATTTCAGTACTTGTGTGACAGGGTCTGGAAACCAAAGCCCTTTTCTCTCTTGAGTAGCAATTACATGGACATTTCCATATAAGCTCTATGTCTACAGAAAAGTATCCTCCAAGAGGTGAGCTCAGCCCTGCTGCAATGTCTGTCCAGCTCCTATCTTGTGTATACAGCTCACAGCAAAGCTCCAACGAAACCAGGTTACTCTGAGCAAACACAGTTTGTTGTGGCATCATCCAGTGCACTCTGTAACGGTAATCTCAGCTTTTACTTCTACAGCTCTTTTCCTTGTCAGGTTTGAGGGGCTTCAAATCCTTGAGAAAAGCAGGTCTCCAAGGTGCAAGGGAAGCTGTCAATGGTTTGTTACCTGAACCTTCTCCACTAGCTTCCTCAGGGAGCTCTTGCACACTCAGTTTCCATTCCAGAGGGGCATCGCATGGTGTTACTGTCACTGCTAAGGGAGTATTGTCCTCTTCAACCACAAAGAAATACCTAGAGGAAGGGTAGCAGACCCATATGTCAGTAAATCCTGAAGGCAGCCAACTGTTAGGGACTGACTTGACATGACTGAGTTTGATCTTAATAGGGCAACAGAGACAAAATTGTTACTTACAGGCAAGCATGTGCAGAGGGAGTGTGCATAGGCTGGTGGGCAAGTGCTAAGGAGGTGAGGGGTGTCTTCCCATGAACATGTTGGTACACAGATCATGCTCTGCTTGTGAAGACACAGCAGAAGGGTTTCTGGCCTCCTGTCCTCCCCCCTGTCAGCTTCATGTTTTACACCTACGCTAAATATATACCATACAAATGGTCACAAAGCTATAAATGAGGGAAACAGGATCTGTCCTGGAATTTCGGGATATGCTGATCCAAGCAGGACACGCATTTTATGCTATGTCCAGGTAAGGGCCCTAGAAGCACATACAGATATATGCATTCCACTATCCTCCTTCATCCCTCCAAGCACTAACTGTCATTTATTGTAAGGTGTTTCTCACCGATGAAGGCTGAAGGATATATGTGACATGAGCAGGAAGGTGACAATGCTGGTCTTCCCTGAACTCTTTGGAGACTCAAGTTCCTTTCCAGTCTAACCTCAGTATTTTCTGACCCTTAGGGTCAAGGCTGGGAAGTAGGGAGTTCAGACCAGACTAGCTTACATTGCTTCTTTAAAGCACAATATGAAATAATGAAGAAAGACAAGTGTGGTGAGGTAAGCCTGTAGTTTCTAATTTCTTTCCTGCTCCCTTTGCCTCCAGACATGGTTAGTGGCCCCACTTCAGGGAATTTCTGTGGTCTGTAGAAGCTCTGGGCTTATCCCAGAAATCAAATAAATTGGATAGACCCTCAGCTGCGGAGGCCAGATTGGGATGGAAACTTGCATAGTTATTTCACCAGACAGAAGACTGGCATTTGTGGTTTTTTGGTTTGGATCCAATTTTTATCTCAAAACACCCAGCAACTAAAGCTAGTATCTTCAGTGTACAACTTCCTCACTTGGACCAGACAGAAGTACCTTTTAGGGGTGTCTCGGAAGAGGTAACTGCTAATTTCAGCTCCGTCTGGGATGATGGACGAATCATGGAAATATGCCTTGTCCCGGATTTGCATTTGGAAGAGCTCTTCATCTCTGGTAGGTAACTTCTGGGGCCTGGAGCTGAGCGGCAGCAGCAGCAGGAGCAGCGGGCAGCACAGCAGGAGCATCCTACAGCAACGACAGGGAGTCCCACCTGAGAAGGGCTGCACTGCGTGTGGCAGGAGCTGCTGTCAGCTTGTCCCACACCAGTGGCTGAGACCATGGTGAAACACTGGGTTATTTGTGGCCTGCAGCTGCTGGCTTGGCTAGCTGCATAGTGGTGTGGCTCTTGTGAGCTGATTTACTGCTGAAGCCTGTAACAACATCACATGTGCTTTATGTTTTGCAAGCACCTCCCTGTAGAGCCATACAAGCATTAGGAACACAAGACTGTAAGGACGAAGCTTGCATTGTCACAGCACTTGGATCAACTATGTAAATAAGAATCTTTCACCTTGAGCTGTAACCAAACACAAGCCTGCACACAGCTTTCATATCAGGATTACTCCCTCTCCTTAACAAAGAACAAAAGCCTTCCACATACTTTGGTAGCACTATAGTTCGATGTTTTGCCACAGCAGAAACAGAGCTCACTGGACATGGAAGCAGGAGTAAGCACAGAGCAGATGGAGAGTGTATCAGCTCCACTTTCCTCAGGAACTTTTGGTCAAGCTTCCAACAGTCCTTTGAAGAGTAAGCATTTCCAGTGAAATTGTTCTTTATAAAAACAGTGAATAGAAAAACATGTGATATAAACCCACACATATTCAAAGCACATTGGTATTAGCATGCAGTTCAGCAGGGCTTAATCCTCAAGCCTGATGGTAACTGCAAAACACAAAAGCAGAGAATCCCTTACAAATTAGGCATAATTCATAATCTCAGCCTTTCATTAGTATGTCTACAACTAGGTCAGTAATGACTACCCTAACATATACAGTGGGTCAGCTTGGAAGTCTCCTTTCAATACAGTAGATGATCTCATATATAATGGCTCTGCTATGGGGGAGGGATGTGTGTGTGTGTGTGTGTAAAAGGGAAACAAAGCCCATTTCTAGTACAAGTACAGTGAGTTTGAATTGCTAAATGATAACATTTATTAAAATTGGAAAAAAAAAAAAAAAAAGAGGTTACCTAAACTGTGTTAGCCACTGGCTTTGGGGGCAAGCATGATAAAAACCCTAAGTAACTGTAAGCCATAAGTGAAACATGCTGAAAACTCCCTTGCCAGGATGCAATTTTATCTTCACCTCCTTTCACTCATGCTGTTGCTCACACCAAGGACTGCTGTGCCTTCCTCAGCTTTCTCCCTCCCCAGCACACCACATATTCCTATATTTGCAGCCAGATCTTCCCTTTCCTGAGTGGAAAACCAAGGGAAAAATGAAAGCAAAAGCTTGAGGTTCACCTGGCAGAGTTTGCCCTGCGGTCATGTCCCAGATCAGCATGGAGGCTGTGGAGGAGTTCCATGACCTCTGCAAGACAGTGAGCAGCAAGCATACCAAGGAGCCCTGCGGTGAGCTTGCTGGTCGATAGCCCCATTGTCTTGAAGGTAAGCCCTGCCTCTGCCACAGCTGCCAGAAGTTGTTTCACAGTTGGAGAAGGCTGCACCCTTGTTTATTTGGCAATAACCTGGTGACAGTAACACATGGCCACAGTTCCCTGTTTGCAGAGCTTGTAATGCTTCATCTCTGGCACTCACAGGTCTCTTTGTTACTGTTTGTGATGTTTTAATAACGGGTCACTGCAGTGCTCTGCTCTACAGAAGGGAAAGGAGAAAAGGGCTTTACCTAAGACATGCAGTTGCTACTTCTAGTTAAATCTTGATTTAACATTCCCAGTATTTGTCAAAATTTATTCCAAGCACATCCTGACTTAGCTTTTGATGGCAACAGACGTATTTCCTCAAATTCAGACTGAAGTGTTGATACTTATCAGCAAAGTTGCTGACTTTTGGTCTTTGGGAGCAAACATCAAAGTTCAAAATACTTGCTGATTTGAGCCACCAAAATCATCAGAAACCTCCTCTCACACAACACAGGACAAGTTCCTTGTGCTCTAACACACTTTTTATTGATTTTTCAGGCATTATTGTTGGCCAACAGAGAAGAAATTCTTTCCAACTTAATCATGACAGTTACAGCAGATTATTTGGTTAGGTAAGAAACTCTGACACTTTCTGCAGACAGTGTCCTCTGCCTGAACCCCTTGAAATTGCAGTCTTTTGTATTCCCACAGACAGTTCCAGTGCAATGTAACCTCTATTAAAATAAATTATTTTTGATTATAGGACTACCCAGGCTGTGCTTCAATTATTCAATAACTCCACTAGCTAATTCACTCAAAAAACTCCTGTAGACAGCGTTTCTGTCTTTGTTAACAACCACAGCACAGAGACAACGTCTAGATTTGTCCCCAGTTTCTTCATCTAATTGTGAAAGCATTTTGGCTTAAAAGTAAGTACAAAAGGCTCACTAAAGTCAGTTTTGTGATCCGTGCCCAGCCTGGGCAGGCTACACTGGCCCATCTCATACATGAAATCACTTGCAAAGTTGACAGCTGTTCCTGAAGAGGAAAACTTTAATAATTCTTTTTCCTTTACAAGTGAATACGTTTTTGAGAGCTTTCATTTTCATATATCCAAATATTGGAAGCTTAATATAGCCCCAGTTTTCATGCACGACACTTCCAAAAGTGAGATACCTCACAAAGAGACATCCAAAAAGCACTCAGTTTCTGGGAAATGTCCTGTCAGTGCTACACCACCCTTTCATACCAGTTAATAAACAGATGTATTTTTGCAGCACAGTCATTATAATCTGTTAGTTTTAAGCTAAATCCTCTATAGCTCACTAACACAAAACAGCAAAAGGAAAGCAAAAAACTCATCTATTCATCCCATGTTTCCTTCTGGGCAAGTTCAGCGCTAAGCAGTTACTTCAACAGTCGTTCAGAAAATGCACTTGCTGCATGTGAGCATATGAATTCCTGCTCTCCCACCCAGACTTCAAACTTCCAACAGTTTTCTTGTCTCTGTCTGTCATTCCCTGAGACTCTTAATTTTTAGAAGCCAGGTACAAGCTCAGGCCTAAGCACTGCACTGTGAAGCCATACAAATTACATGAAATATGTTGTGTGATTTTTTGTTCCCCAGCCTGTGCTACCTCCTAAATGTTGTTTGTTCCCTTTTCTACAAGTTCATCTTGTTTTCTTTTAAACTCTGATTCAATATTTTATTGATATATTCCTGCTGACTGGAGGATTTGCCTGCTGTTTATCACTGAATTTAAGTGAGTGCCAAGATAAACAGTCCTAAGTGAAATAATAAGCATTGTTTTCCTTCTCCAGGACTGCAAAACTGCCCTCTAATGGCCCAGCTTTACCTCTCACTTTTTCCCCAAATTCTGCCTAAACTGAGTGTGGCAGGTGGCCAGAGTTCCCCTTTTATTTTGACCTGGAAGGTGGCAATCCTGTCCCCAGGTGAGCAGATCCCAGCCTGCACAAACACTCCAATAGCAACCGCTACTTCTTAGAAGAGTACTTAGAAGGTATTTAATGAACTTGTATGCATTGATCTAAATAGATCAACAGATGAGAAAAGCATGCTGTACATTTGGGGTGGGATATAAGTTATTTTAAACACCTCAGGATTTACCACCTTGCCAGAGGTTTGGGTTTGGTCTTTTGTCCCTTCAGAAAGTATCAACAAACAAAAGCAGCAGACTGGACATACTATACATCTAAGATATAAGCACATACATGAAAATTATCATTAAATCAGATCAGAGGTTTGATGATGATTATTACAGTTCGTTCATATCTTTCAAATGGTTTCCATGTGGGCAGTGAGCCTTACCCAGCCTTTCCAAAATCCCATGTACACAAGCCTTCTACCCAGCCTATAAGACCTTTGCATAACAAACTTCATCTTTACAAAAGGCTCATCGGTAATATCTAGGTAATCTGCAATTATAAGCAGAAGTGGAGAGGGTAATGGGATTTGTACCTGACTTATGTTCCAAGTCTGCGACAGGTTAGCTGGAGCTGCGGCAGCACCTCACAGGCTCTCCCCGCAGGCTCTGGGATCAGCAGGACAGGCACAACCCTCAACCAAAGCCAAAACCAGGTGGCCCCAGGGACAGATAAATCATCTCATTTTTGATTTCACAGAGCAAGCCTACAGTATTTTCTGTTTGCCCCAAGCAAGACTTTTCTTTCCAGCAAAACATAGCAGTTGTGCAGGATGTACCACAGGAGGTATCAGAGGCTCCCTTCTTACATCCCACCATAGAACTCACCCAAGAAGCCAAAAATCCCTTTGGTTTGGCTGTTTGGGATCAGAGCAGCTGTGTCCTCCTGTTTTGACTTCACTGTGTATTTATTGCCAGGAAGGCTCAATGTCATCAGGTACACCTACACGCAACCAAATGGCTGCAAGAGCAATGGTTTCACCATGTGCAGTGCCAGTGCTAGTAGCGCATCAGCTTCAAGCGCCTCAATCTAGGAAAATCATTTGCCTTACTTCTTCACTGTCTGCAGGTCAGAGACGTGTAAAGGATATAGAATAACAAAACAAAAAGATTAGGGTTTACCTGAAGCAAATGCATCTGGAAGAAATAAACCCTAATGTTTAATTACACAGAATGAAAAGTGCAGGACTGTAATTTAACAAGGATAATTTCATGGTACTACCTGACACTGCTTTTGCTTTGTGTTTCTTGCCTTCTTAGTGTATGGATGTTTCACATTTTTCCCTCCTTACATCCTATTTTTGTGTGTTGGGATTTTTTTTTCTGTTGTTTACATTACCATGCTGCTTCTCATAATAAATCTGTAGATTTATTGATGTGATTTAAGTGCAGCTTCAGAAATAAAAGGGCATTGTGTGAATCCTTTGACTTATTAGAGGAATGCTGCAAGTAAAAGGGCTGTGAGCTTTTCCATTATACACCTTATTTCCAGAGATATATAACACAAATAAATGCACCTCAGCACGCAGAGCTATCACCTCAGCAACAGAGGAGTTTAAAAGCGCCTACCAATTCCAACTGTAATATAATTAGTTATTTTTGATGTGCAAACAAGACAAAACAATGCCTTTGAATTTTAAGTACTTACCAAGAGCTGCT